TGTCAGAAGGCCTTAATTTAGCCTGAGTTCCACTGCCGGAACAAATCTTCCTAAATGTATGTAAGGATATGATTGAAAGGGCAGACCCCGTGTCTAGTTCCATAGTTAATGGAACCCCTTGTAGCTTCACCTTGAGTGACAGCTTTTTCTTGATGGGCTTGTGTGTGCCTGTCCTGAAGATGCTTCTTCGCGAAGCGCAAAAACCTACCCTATTCTGGCTGGGGACCCTGGTACCTTTCAGGCGCAGTTCTTCCTGAGGTTGTACCTTTCGTCGGCCCAGACACACAGCTGCAATATGTCCTTGTTTCCCGCACGCCCGGCAGATAACGGAGCGGAACTTGCAGTCGGTTCTCCTGTGGCGACCTCCACAGCCAATGCACTTGAGGGGAGCTGCAGAGCTTCCTTTCTGATTCCCTTCCTTCGTGGGGTGGAGACGGTCGACTTCCTCGTCCGGATCCTCCTCGGAGTTCCCTTGGACATCCTCTTGGTGCACGGATGCAACATCTGGACTGTTCCTGATCGGCCGCATGTTTTTGACGGCGCCGCCTGCTGCTTCTTCTGCGGTGACCTCTCTTAAGGCATCTTGGAAGGACAATTCTTCTTTGGCGAAAAGCCTCTGTTGTAGATCTCGATGCCTTAAGCCGCACATGAATCGGTCCCTCAATCGTTCTTCGAGGTCCTTGAACTCGCAGTGCTTGGCGGCCACCCTCAATGCGGCGATGTACTCTTTGGCCGACTCTCCGGATCGTTGATCCCTCTGCTCGAAGGTGTGGCGCCATGCGATGACGGACATCTTGGGCTGGAAGTGCTCCTTCAATAGCTTCTTTAGATCTGCGTAGCTGACAGACTCTAATGGGACAGGTGCTGCAAGGTTCTCTGCGATTTCGAAGGCGTCTTGACCGCAGACATAAAGCAGGGTGGCAGCCTTCAAGCTATCTTCCCTCACTTGGTTTACCTTGAGGTAATTTTCCACCCTGGCTACGTAGGACTCCCACCGCTCTGGATGTGAGACGTCGAATTCCGAAAGCCTTCCGACTTTTGCCATTTTCAGCAGACGCGTCTATCAGCCAGCCTACCCCCGAATGTGCACTGGATTGGCGGGTAGCTGCCGAGTCAACGCCGCTCCGCCGCTCAGGACTCACTTGGGTAAGCTTACACCTCTTCCTTTCCAGGCGATGTAAGGCATCCCACCCTCGTCGCCAGTGTTGAGTCCTTGGCGAAAAGCAGACGCGAGAATCAGTTGTAGTTCTCAAGTTTCTTTTATTCTGTGTTCAGCTTACAGGTGAAGGCTTCAGCAATGCCCCAAAGCTCCCAGCCTCTTATATAGGCAATTCCCGGGTTAATGTGTTACTTTTCCCGCGCCAGCACCCGCGCATGCGCACAGGCGCTGGCGACAGCCTGTCTGGTCCCGGGCAGCTTGCACCTGCGCGGGACTGCCTGCAAACGCCCCGAGCCCGTTTGCAAGGCTCGGGACATAACACATAGATTTATCCATGGCATTGAAAAAGCCAGCAGGGAAAAGGTTAAAACACTGTAACAAAGTCATCCAGTGAAACTGATTGAATGGAGATTTATAATAGACAAAAAAAAGCACTTCTTTACACAGTATATAATTTACCTGTGGTATTACAATACAAGTTGATGATCACTAACTTAAATAGCTTTTAAAGGGGGGGAGGGCTAGATAAATTCATGTGGAACAAGGGCTAGTCATTTCATCCACCCCCACTTTAATTCAAAGGGACACCATATAAAAGCATAATAATGACAATAATAGAAATAAATTTTAATGGCGATCATAAGTTTCACATTTCATTAATACATTATGTAATATAGGCACTGATGCCTTCACAATTAATACCAAAAAGTTTTCTGAAAAAACAAGTTTTTAATAGCTTCAGGAAAAGCATAAGATTTGGGGCATTTTCACCGGGGGGGGGGGGGAAACCAGGATCTTTCTAGGGGGAAGTCCCTCCCAGGGAATGCTGGTACTAACTCCTGGTAGAGAAGAATTTCCAGGAATTTCCTGTCTATCCAGGTTGAGTGAACTATTTCTTGTAAAGATTCAGTATTCTTCCAGTTTGGGCAGCATCTTCCAAATGTCATTTATTTATAAGATGTATATTCTGCCCTTCAGTCAGGAAAAAAGCTGTCTTTCTTCCTATTTTTTTCCCATAACAACAATGCTCTGAGGCTGATTGGCATAACTGAGAGAGATTGAACCACTGAACCTTTCATAGCCAAAGGTAATTAGAATCTGGTTGCTCCTAGCCTAACATCATGACTGGCTCTCAAATATTTGAAATATATTTCAAATATTGACTCCATGCTGGCCACGCTGAAAAACTACTAACTTAAGTAATGCATGCTTGGCCTGAACCAGCAAGGCTATTTTATTGGTTATTCTTTCTGGATGTGTTGAATTTCAATTCTCACAATGTCCAATCAATACTGCAATAGCATCAATTGTAATACATGGAGAGCACTATACTAAAGAAGTCTGGTGTATATAGCAATCTTCGATGTTGGAGGTTTCAGTTCTTGGAAGGTAATTCTTTAGCCAAATAGTTTAATGATAAGACCACTCTTTCAAACATAGATAGGCTTCTATAAATAGAGCAGTGACCCAATTCTCCTTTGCTCTTTTTTTTTATTATTCAGACTTTCTGGTACAAATGAGTAAGTGATATGATTTGGCAATTTATGTCAATCTGTTCTAGGTTTTCTGGAATTTAGCAGGGTAATTCTGTATTCATAGGTCTTGATTTGCTTTCAGAGAATTGAATAGAAGACCCTGTCACTGAATTGGCAGGATATGTTTACATCCTGTTCACTAGCTTAAATAGATTTCTGGCAATTAAATGTTAGCAGTTAAATGATGCCTTTTATTGGCTTGGTTTCTGCTGATTTATGTTTTAATATTTTGTTTGTGTTTTCCTTTTTTCCTAGAGAAGATAAGAAATATCTTCCAATGCTTTTGAATTTTTCAACAGTTTTCACTTTTATTGATACACTTCTGAATTATTTGTCAATGATGAAACAGGATGTTTTCTTCAGTTTTTTTTAATGCTACCTAAATGGGATTTTAAAAGTAGAAATTTCAAAATAAAACTTCTTGTGAAAGGAGTTTCTCTTTTACATAATGTGTTCAAGTATAAGCTAGTGAGAATGATGGTGATGCCTTAATTTGGAGAACCAGGCTTTTCATCTTTAAAAATAGTAAACCCAGGAAACCATAGACCAATCAGTATCTAGAAAAATTCTAGCAAAGATAATCAGTCAGCTTGCAAGAACAATTTTAACAATTGTTAAGATAGCCATGCCAGAAAAATCTTATTGATTCTTCTTTGAGAAAGTGACTAGTTAATAGACCAAAGGGGATATAGTGTACATTAATAATATATTTTATAAAGTAGATTATAGTCTCCTTCTTGATAAAATATAACGAGGGATGGCCCCATTGCAAGACTGATTTATAGTTGTTGAACTATACAAAGCATGTGTTTCTTAATGTGCAGAGACATCTAAAGGTCTACCCTGCCCACAGTCCTCAACATTTATTATAAATTATTAGAGAAGAAGATAGGACATATGCTCATAAAATATGCAGATGATATATGGCTAGGAGGATGGTTAACATCTTGGAACACAAACTCAAAATTTGAAAAGATATTAATGGATTTGAATAGTGGCTCCTATCGATAAAATGGCTCTTCATTGGTGAGAAAAGTAAGATTCTTCAGTTAAACAAGAAAAACCAGATGCATAAGTATAAGATACGCAATATCTGGCTTGGCAGTAGTACTATCTGGAAGCATGAAGATCTGGGATTTTCAGATTAAGTGTGACCCGACATTGTGCTGCAACTGCCAAAGAGTCAATGCAAACTTGATTTAGAGTGGTATAACTTGAAGGTCATGGGGTATAATATTCCTATTCAGCAGCTGTAAAACTGTCTGGAGTACAAAAAAGATGCTTAAGAATTGGGAAGGGTGCAGAGATTAATAGTAGAGATGGTGAGGAGCTTGAAGGCTATTGTCTATGAAGATCAGTTTTAAAAAATTGCATATATTAGCCTAAAGAAGGGACAGCTAAGAGGACCCATATCAGCAGTCTTCCAATTATCGAAGGGCTGCCCAAAGGAATCTGATGTGGATTCATTCTCCACATTCTGGAAGATACTACAAGTATCTTGAAGCCTTACAGAAATACACCCAAGCCTGAAATGAGGATGATTGACCTTGAGAGCTATTAAACAGTGGAATAATCTCTCTGAAGTTGTGGATGCTCCATTTCTGAAGGTTTTCAAAGATTGGACAAACATTTGCCTGGGAGGGGCGGAGGATTATTGCCCTGTATAGGGACTAGAGGTCAGTAGAAAGCAAAATATGTTCTCTATAGTTTGGTAATACTTTGTTGTGGATTTAGTTTCAAAATGAGGACCAATTTCTAGGATTAATCTTATATGATGTGACAATATGAAAAAAAAATCTCAGAATCTCTAATTTCACGATTCATGTTGAAGAGACTTTTTGATCTGTGTTTTGAGATAATTTCCTTTTTTAAAAAAAACTGGAATTCAGTGGATGGAAAATAACTAATTCTGTGGGAAATATATGCTTTGTGTTCTTATGGTTTTTATGATATTTTCCATAAAAATAAAGGATTTAGATTTTATTTTTGTGATCAGATTTTTATTCAGACCTTCTCTGAACCGTCTCTACGACTGTAAATTTCCTTTCTTCATTTGCGTAAATTACTGACAATGTCACTATGGTCTGAAAGAGGGATCTGACACGTAATGACAGCCGCAGGACACATATAACGACTTCCATAGGTTTTGCTGACCCAGCGAACAAGAGAAATTTAAGATGCGCAGCCTGCAGCAACACCCCAAACAAAGAAAGCAAGCTCGCCTCTGGTTGTCAATCTTGCGCATGCGTTTTCCTTTTATGGGCCCGCCTCCAGGAGAGAAGTTGCGCATGCGAGCTGCTGTAGGATTTTTTTTTTTTTCCCTGCTGCAGCTGTCGAAGCTCGTTGGTGACACTGCGGGCGCTCGCTGGCAAGAGTGGCCTGAGAAGCGACGCCGGGAAACAAAAGGGAAATAGGCGGCGACACGGGCTCCGCGGAAAGTTTCGCGCGCCTCGCGCTCGTGGACAGCGCGCGGTCGATTTGGAGCCTATTATATCCTACGAAAAAAGACAAGATCCTGCGAGGGACAAACCAGTGAAGCCGGCTTCCTTTTCCCTTTCCAGAAGCAGCTGAGTCCCAAGGAGAGCCCGGCGCTCCCTCGTCCTTGCTGCGCCGAGGATCCGTCGTGGCTCCGCCCTAACCGGCTTGCTCGGAGTCCCTAGCCTCTTCGTTCGGACGGAGCTGATCTTGGGCAAGAAAACTCAGAGCCGCTGGCGCTGGGTGAGAACCGGAATCGGGGAGGGAAGCTGGCAGCCTCTCCTGCCAGAAGGATGGGCGGGGACCCTTCACTTCTCTGGGGCGGATAGTAGGCGGGGAAAGGGTTTCTGATGTCTCAGGACTTGTCGGAAGGGGTAGGCCGGAGCGCAGGAATCTCTGGCCCTATATGGGACGTTTATGTGCCCGTACTTATCACGACTCCCTGAATATTATTGCTCATTTTGAGAGATGACTTTTGTGTTACTTGATGGTAACATAGGGAGTAAAATCTCCAGTAAATCTCAAATCCCCATGTTAGCATATAAATAAACACTATGGGAAAGTCAACCTACATTCAATGTCTGTGACAAAATGTTGCCTGGGATTCAGAGGTGCTTCTCAGGGTCTTAGGAAGTATGGTTTGAGGGTGAGTCGGAGAAAAAAAAAATGAAAACTAGCCTGCTTGAACTTTCCCTGGTTGGGGAAAGAAACTGGCCCTTCTACTGTACTTTATAACAAAATATGAAAATTCAGGGTATTTACTGTACTGATGGATAGCTTAATAGGTAGTTAAATTAAGAAAGAAAATTCTGTTAATTATTAATACTGTACTTATAAGCATGTTTGTGAACAAACAGCTTACATTCAAATGGTAATCATCTCTTTCAAATACATTATTTTAAGTGATACATAGTACTTTAAAGAGTTTAATAGGCAAAAAATAGATTGCTGCCCAAATATGATCTAAATATTATGCTTTAGGTTATGTTTGAATAATGACTTTTTAGTGATATTCGTTTCCATGCCTATTTCAATTTGAGAGCACTATTTGCATTCTTAATCTGTTAATTTCAGTATGCTGAATTAAGATGAAGTTGATTTAAAATTCTCTTAAAATCAGTGTGGGAAATTAGTTATTGATTTCTTCAGGAATCAAATATGAGTTAAGCAAACTACTGGAGTACTGTTTTGATGCTCTTAAAATGGAGACAGAGACATGAGTTGTATGTAGGCAACCTGTGAAATTCCGAAACTACTGGCAGATATTTTTGATGGTAAACTCTTAGCTAGTATGGTCAAGGAGGCAAGGAGTTGTATTTCAGCAGTCTCTGAAATTGCCAGAGCTTCCTCATTTCTTGCTTTAAGTTTTTGTGGATGAGTACAGGTAGTTCTCGATTTAAAACAATTCATTTAGTGACTGTTCCAAGTTATAACAACACAGAAAAAAAGTGACTTATGACCATTTTTCACACTTATGAACATTGTGGCATCCTCATGGTCGCATGATCGAAATTTAGACACTTGGCAACTGACTCATGTTTATGACAGTTACAGTGTCTGGGGTCCTATGATCAACTTTTGCAAACTTCTGATAAGCAAAGTCGACAGGGAAGCCAAAGTCAAATGACAACTGTCTTTCTAACTTAACAGCTGCAGTGATTCACTTAACAATAATGACAAGAAAGATAATAAAACTCACTTAACAAATGTCTGTTAGGAATAGATATTTTGGCCTCAGTAATAGTCAAAAGTTGGGGACCACCTATATCTACTTTGTCAGCTATATGATTTGAGTTCTAAGAATTCATACAATATACAGTTATTCCAGAAATAAATGAAATGCAGATATTTATTTATTGAATAAAATGTATATGTTCCCTCATCAAATAATACTAGTCAAACTATAGCAACTATAAAATGGGATACATTTTAACCAATTTTTTCTCCTTAGTTATTGTCTTCTAGAAAACAATGATTTAATTGTTGATTCCACAGTAGGCTACTTTTGGGGGAGAATGTGTTTTAGTATTAGATACAAAACCAAAGGTGCCACACTCCTGAGATAGCATATTATTGTTATTTCAGTGACTTTAGGTTGCTTACAAAAATAACCCAATATGAAAATAGAAGAAAAAAAACTCTTCATCCCCCTGGTGACAATAAGCCATCAAACAAGCCACTTGGTGGATTCCATCCCCAGGCCTGTTGGCAAAACCAGGCCTTCAGGCCTTGCAAAAGAGTGTTAAAGTGGAGGCCAGTTTAATTTCTGTAGGAATGATGTTGCAAAGGGAGGGATCCACCACAGAGAAGCCTTTCTTCTGGGTCTCACCAAATGTACGTCCTTAGGAAAGGAGACCCACAAAATTCCCTGCCTCCTTACTAATGCCTGGGTCAAGTGGATGTAACCAGAAGAGACAGTCCTTCAGATAATCTGGTCTCAAGCTATGTAGGGCTTTAAATCAGCACCTTGAATTGCACCCAGAAGCAAATCATAGCTTTTGTAGAAAAATGACATATGCACCTCAGGTATGCACAAAACCATGAAAGTCATTTTGAACTATTTGGAGCTTCTGAATGTTTTCATGGTGCATGTTGCAATAATCAAGTCAGGAGGTGACTAGGGCATGAGTGACTATGAATAGAGATTGTTGATTCAGGAAAGGGCATAACTAGTGCACAACCCATAGTAGCGCAAAGTCCCTCCTGGCTACAACTGCCACCTGCTCCTCAAACAGGAGTTGTGAGTCCAGGAGAAACTCCAGATTACATACTGGGTCTGTCTGGGGCAGTGCCAGCCCATCCAAGACCAGAGATGGCAATTCTCCATGGACCATAGAACCCCAAACCCAGAGCCATTCAATCTTGCCAGGGTTCAGTTTCAGCCCACTGCTCTCTATCCAGCCCTTAACAGCCTCCAATACTGCGAGAGAAAGGTCATGGCATTGCTGAACACACCGTGGGCCAAGACAAATAGCTGGGTGTCATCAGCATATTGATGATATCTCAGTCCACGGTGGTGGATGGTCTCACTTAGTAGCTTCATATAGATGTTACATGGAAGCAGAGAGAATACTGACCACTGCAGGACCCCGCAGAGCAGGGGATGAGGGCTAGACCTCTTGCTCTCTATCAACACTGACTGAGAATGTCCATAGAGGAAAGAAGTAAATCAGAACAACATAGAGCCCCCACTCCCAACTCCTGAAGCTGCTCCAGGTCGATGGTATTGAAGGCCTTCTGAGAGAGCAAGTAGAGCAAGATTGAATGCACTACCACCATTCTGATCCTGCCAAAAATCATCAAAAAGGGCAACCAATATTGTTTCTATTCTATATCCATACCCGAACCTTAATCGGAAATGGTCTAGAATCTAGACAATCCATTTTATTCTGGAACCTCTGGAGCTGCCACAAAATCACATTCTCAGTGATCGTCCCCAAGGGAAGATTGGAAACAGGTTGAAAATTTTACCCAACAGGGTGGAATATAGTGATGGCATCTTAAGAAAAAGGCAGACAACAGATTCCTTAAATGCTGGAGCACAAAGCCCTCCCACAAGGAAGCATTAATCACCACCAGAACTCACCTGCATGTTGCCTTCTGGGAAACTTTGACAAACCAAGAGGGTCCTTGATCTAAAATACAGGTGTTTGCACTCAGATTCCCTAGGATCCTGTCCACTTCATCACGAGCAACCAAGTTAAACATTCCCGTGGTAGTGCAATGGTTAGAATGCAGTATTACAGACTAACTCTCCCTACTGCCAGGAGTTCTATCTTAATTGGCTTAAGGCTAACTCAGCCTTCTATCCTTATTTGTTATGTATATGTAGGTCTATACATATGTTGTATATAGTATGTTTTTAGGGCGTGTCATGTACGTGTTTCACTTTGAGAGCGGGCAACTAAATTTCATTTTTGATGTGTGCCGTTGTGCCCACAGTAAAAAAATGACAATAAAGGTTATCTATCTTATCTTCTGAGGTCGGTAAAAATGAGGATCCAGATTGTTGGGGATAATATGCTAACATTGTAAACTGCTCAGAGAATGCTATAAAGCATTATGGAGCAGTATATATGTTTAAATCCTTTGCTATTCCCAGATAATTGGGCAAGAACCTGCTCCAGGTACCTCCACTTGACTAGCAACCACGCCAGCATCTAATTGTGAATGAAGCTGAGCGATATTGTTTTCCAGTAAATCAGTAAATTCCTCAGGGCGCCTCTTCAGATAGACCTCTTTCTTCCCTAGAAGAAGATAGTTCACCTTAAAGAGGGTCACTGGTAAATTATCTGCAACACAATTAGTGCAGAGAAGATTTTGGGTCATTCTGATGTTTAGTATTATTCCTATAATGCTTTTTTGGTTTAAAAGGTCCAAATAAATGCTCTCTTCCTTCTGTAGTAAACAGGTTATCTCGCCTAGTTTACTCCTTTCATGATAGCCATTCAAGAAATTATAAATGTTCTGTCCAATTTGGATCCAGTCCAGTGAAACTTTATTTTAAATACACTTAGGATTGCAGTATAACAGGTAAAAGAATGTTATTGATGTCTAGTCTTGTCAATTCAACTTAATATATGTTATCTACCTCTTTACAAATAGTTTAAATACTCCATTAGAGTATTTAATGGAAAGTTATCCTTTTGTTGTCTTAAACCTCTAGTTGCATTCTCAGTCAAGATGTTTTTTTAAAAAGGACAGGGATTTTCTCCCTTATAGTACCTGCTTTTCTTTGCACAAGAAATAGTTAATTGTTCTAGAAATAAAAATAAATGCCAAGTAAACAAATATAAAAACTCTGTAAATATGCATGCAGAAAAATGAACAGTTATATAAATTAATAAAGTTGAGTAGTGGATTAATAGTTATTTCAAGTTAATTAGATTATCATTTTTGGTGATATTTGTATGATCTAATGTAATGAATTTCTGGAAAAAAAATGAGCTTATTCCTTTTCAGGTTTGTTTTTAGTTTACTTCTTTTCTCTTTGAATTCCAGAATACAGTAGTCAGGTTTATTTATTTATTTCCCAGAAGGTTGGACTGATATCAGAGAAATGATATGAAGGTATATATAACTGGGACAAATGGAGATTAAAAATTTTTTGAAATGCAGAATACCTGTTTTCTTCCCACTTCAGTTATAAGCTTCCTTCTGCTGTTCTCAGCTTGTTTCCTATATAAAAGACATCTGTCCACAGAAGCAATCAGTCAATCAGATTCCAAACTCTCTACCATGGC